AACGAAAAAAATAACTTTTAAAAAAACGAAAAAAATAAAAAAAAAACTAAAAACGTTAAAACCGAGCATATATCTATTTAAAAAAATCGAATTTTTTTTAACAAAAAATAATTAAAAAAAACCGAAAAAAAACCAAATAAATGAAAAAGAAAAGAAAAACCCATTTAAATGACGTTCCATGGACGTTCGCCACACATGATTATTCCCTCGAGCCCGTATTACGTTTCATGCATGTGTGCTGCGTGCGAACGCGTCACAACCAAGTAAACTGGTTTGACGTTTGTGCCCTTGATGAAATGATTAGTGGATAATAGTTTTCGCGGTTTCTACCAATTTTTGGTTTCCTACCGGATTCGTACCCTAAAAACTTAGTTACTTCACTTGCACACAACAATTTTCTTATTACCTTGGGGTGATACGAAGACGTTACATATTCGTTGGCGGATTTAAGGGTTCTCTGAGGTTGGCAAGTGCAACCCTTCAAATTTTGTAGCATGGTCTAAATTTTTTGAAAATTTTTTCAGTGTAATGTAAATTTTTCAGCATACAACCCCTTAAATCATGTATATAACCCCTAAGATTTTGTCTTGGGTCCGTCTTCCGCTGTATGTGTTCATGTTGATTTGTGATTGTTAGCTTGAATGGGTGCCTATCTTGGATTGCTAAATTGACAAGTACATCAAGCGTTTCCATGGTGTTGAGTGATTATTGATTCTTTTATTCGTTATTCTTGGAATATGTCCTACAAGTGAAATAACACAATTAGATACACATATTATATAAGAGATATATTACTTCTAGGATACTTTCGGTGATGACAATGAAAGGGTAATGTAGAACTATTCTAATTGTCCATTGGTCATGCAAGGGGACTTGTGCATGAATGATTTGCCATGGTGGTATAGCGATAAAAAACAAATCAACATCATTGTTCTTTTCTGAAAAAAAAAACATTAATACGAAAAGAATCAAATCAACTGTTGTATTTTAATTTTTAAAAGACAGGCCGGCCCGGAACGAGATGGGCCATCGCCCAGGGAAGCAACCAATATGGAGCCTCAGTTTTTGGAGGTAGTTACTAGTTATGGGTATAATTATTTTGGGCCAAAGATTTGATCCATAAATCCAGAGCAAAGTCCAGTCTGTTGAAAAACAGAGGCGCCGACCTAAGATTTAACCGGGAACCGTTACCGGCTCAAAGAAAAATTGCATGTCTAATTAAGTAATTATTGAAACATTTATTAAGCAGAAAAACATGAGAATGATCTCTATTTTAATCATTAGTTGTAAAACTTGTATATTACATGGATTTACTGAAAAAATATGAATATTTATAAATTCAGGAAGTTTGAATTTATAAAAAAAGAAAGAAAAATATTGAATTATTTAAATGTAATGTTCAATTTGATATTTTTAATTTTTTTTCATTTTTCTTTTAAATTTAAACAGATAATATAAATAAATAAACAAATTAAATAATTGAATTAAATTTAAAAACTTAAAAATCAAAAAGAAACTTATATTAAGTAAATAGATTTGTATTTATTATTACATTTATTACAATTATTACGTTTAAATATTATATAGAATTTAATAAAATGGAAAAAAAATCATAAAATAAAAGTGGAAAAAACAATAAATTCAAAAATCTTAAAAAATTGATATATGTCAAATTCAATGAGAATACGACAATTCAATCAGAATATGACATTTGTCAAAAATAATTTTCATTTATTATAACATTTATTATAACAGTGATAGATTGCTCTCCTGCTCTCTCAATTGCTCTGATTATATTAATTTTTTCAATTTTCTCCCTTACATCTCTATGAGTATTATTCCATTTTCCGGTTCTTCCAAGCTTTTTGGTAGATTAAGATTTGTGTACAGTGTAGGTTCACTTTTTTATTGGGTAATGGGGTTTTATTTCGTTGGTGTACGTTTTCTTGGTGTATGTTGCTCACAAATAAGTTTGTTTCTAGTGGCTAAAATCAAAGCTATTGGAATTATCTTGCATAAGTACACGTTTAACATTTTGCTTAAGTGTAACTCTATTTATTATACAATAAAATTAAGGAAATCAAGGCAATGGGCATGAACCTTTTATCACAATATCATGACGAATGTAATGAGGAAACAAAGATTAAATAACAATATTTTAACATTAGAAGCAAATGTCAAACATTAGTGTACTACCACATCATTATAGTGATATAGTCTAAATGATTTTCGACTTCATCAAGTTATGTTTTTTAGTTATATCAGAATGAAAGATTGTCTTCTTTCACAACATCAAATTCATTTTCCAATTTTTTATAATTGAGATTTTAAATGAGATTTAATAAATAATTGATAAGCATGGGAATTAAGTCATCAAATGATAAAGTTGTGAAGACTACAATCATTCAAAATAACCTTTTTATCAAACACTTTTGCCCCATATATGCCTTTTCTTACACATATCAGGTGATTCAGCAACCTGATCAACAATATAAAAAGAAACAAAACATGAGTCACGATCAACTAATTAAATCATAAAATTAAAAAGAAGCAACACCCTACATTTACACAAATAATCAAGAACAATTTATAAAAGCTCATACAAAAAAAAATGTTTCTTGATGAAACTATGAGCTTCTAATTTCATCACAAATACACACAGACAATTACATTTTTCATCACAGGAACTCCTGCTTTGATGCTTACCATGGGAAAGAGAGGATAATTTCACCAACAAAGTTCATTTCATGATTAATTTGATGATTAGATTTTAGTTTGTTACAAGTTAGTGATAGATGACTACAAATCAGCAATACTGTAAACTAATCCCTACAAAACAAACCCTAACCTTTAAAGAAACAAGCAATCAGAATACCTAGAATTGAATGATTAGTGTCGATTAACTTGCTAAAACGGGTTGAAGCTTCTGCATTCAGATACGAAATCGAGAAGCTGCTGAAGATCACTGCTGAAACCACAAGCGTAAACGTGAGTAAAACCAAAAGGAGTGGTGCCGATTTTGTCAAAATCGCAACAACAAGAGGAGCGATGGAGCTAAATCGTGTTTTTAAAATCGTTCGAGAGAGAGAAAGGGGAGAGATGAAGAGCGACGAGAGAAGGGAACTGCTGAGAGGAAGAGAGGAGCGGGGGTATGCCGGTGGAGTAAGAGAAGAGTAGACAGCTGTTCTCTTTTTCTCAAACATGAAAAAAAAAAAAAAAAAAACAACAACAACAAAAACAACGAAAATATACATGGTATACCCTCTTCTACCCATTCTAAGAATAATGGAATTAATTAGTCATATTTTTTAATTTTTTATATTTAATTTTATTTGTTATACCTCTTACTATTTCGGGTAAATTACACGAGTGGTCCCTATAGTTTGGGGAAGCTTGTATATTTGGTCCCTAACACCCCGTTTCCGAGTTTAATTTAAGGAGAGAATAAAGAAAATGGGTGGATGTGAGAGGAAAGTAAAATAAATTGGTGTTCTTCAGTTTCATTAAAGGAAGGAAATGGAAGAATCATTTTCCCTCCTAATTTTCCTTCCGATTTGAAGAGAAAGAACAAATTGTTTAACTTTCCTTCCACTTCTCTCCAACTCGGGAACATAAAAGACAAATTTATTTTCCTTTCTTTTCTTTTCTTTTCTCTCTTTACTTTCTTTTCTCGTCTCTTCTTTCTTTGCTACAACTCGAGAACAAGGTGTAATTGTTTTTAGTTTGGATCATCCTATTGTTCGGTTTTGTTTCGATTTTGGTCCCTTACTAACCTAAAATGACTATAATACATTTGTATATTTTTTTCTAATTAATTTATTATTCTTTTTTGTTATTTAACAATTAAAATAAATAAGGTGGTCCAACATCCACCCCATCCAATAACAACATATTATTCCTTCCTCCTTCGACAAGTAACTCTCGGTTCCATTTTACTCGCTTCCACCGACACTCCCACTGTAGCTGGCGTGTTAGACTCCTGTCGTTCCTCCGGTGAAAGAGAATGAAAGCAAACGGCACTACCACCATAATTTATTAAACTCTTTCCATATTGATATTCGGAAAAAAAAATTACATAAAATATGCACCATATACACATACACACAA